AGAGAGTAAGAGTCAGTTAAATATATATAGCATATACTCGGTTGCAGTCAAAAGAGAAAAACTCATGTCGTCGCTTGCTTTGGCTGTGCGCTCAGATATATAGCTATAGTCAACATTTCCACTCCTCTCCTCGTAGGCACACATTCGGTATACCCCAATACCCCTTCTACGTGTCGCCAAAATGTGCGCCTATATGCTCATTTCCACGCGAATCCACTTCTCTTCTTGTAGGCGCACGCTCTTCGATACGAGTCTCGCACTCTCGAAAAATGTGCGCCTTGGTTCGACGGCTGGCCGCGGCGGGTCGCCCCGATCAGTGGAAAAAAGTTGTCTCACGCCGTAGCATTGGCGTTAGCAATCTTTCTACTCATCTCTGATTCAGTCAATAAGCTCTCCCAGAACCCGCTTACTCACCTGCACTCCACACTCTACAACAGATCCAGGATGATTTATAACAGGTTGAACTTGCTTGGCATAGAGCTAGTGTATATGAATGTTAGGGGACAATATCATTGCATGAACACACACGCAAATAAATAATTCTGCTTAAATTGTCGAGTAAAGTGTTGGAGTTAAATTAGTTTTAATTATATAAAGAAATGGGCAAGTCGTTTAAGAAGTTTAATTATTGGCATAAAATTGAAAATACATGCTAGTTTTTCAACCTACAATGTCAATATTGATAGCATTATAACAATACGTATTAATGCAAGTGTAAATCGTGTTTGTCTGTGGCAAGACCGCCAGCACACTACACTGATAATCTTTAGCTAGCGATCGGGAACAAAACCATCTGCTTTTTTTTTTTTTTTTTTTTTTTTTTTTTTTTTTTTTTTCCTATTTCTCATTTTTTATTTTAATGTACTTTACGCTGTATATTGAAGGCACCAAATGTGGATTTCAACAGAAGGTAGAACATGCTTGGCATGGAGAAAATGTGTATGCATGTATGAGTACAATATAATTGTACACACATTCATACAAATAAATAGTTTTGCTTCAATAGTCGAGTGAAGTGTTAAAGTTTGATTAACTTTAGAATTTTGTTATTTAAAATGTAACATGATAAATTTTGAGTTGTTGAAATGACTTTTTCATGACAATTTAAATTTATAACATCATGACCTTCGTAAATTTTTTTTTACAAATGTTATTAGTTTTCCTCTACAGTACTGAATACTCACTCTAATACTTACATTGATTTTTTTTTCTCCTTTTTTTGGAATTTTCCTACAGCGATCTAAATAAAAGATGTCATGCTTAAGACCGTTATCTTTTCTGTTCTGACTCCTCTCATTTTAGCTATAAGAACAGCAGTCGCTGACCTTCAGAGTATCCACATAAATAAAAAACACCTAATAAATTTTGAACTTTACCGAGACAAATATCCTTAAGTTTTTCCATGCAAAAAAATGTATTGTAAACAAGCATCGATTTAAGGTTGTATAGTACACCCCTTTTACAGTAGAGTGCACGTTTCAGATAAAATTCTTTATCAAGTCTTCTAAATACTTAACGATAACATTGTTATTGAATTATGAACATACAGTGTGGCAACATCAAGAACAAATTTCAACAAATCCCTTAATTATTTATAACAATGAAGCCGTTTGACAAAAATTAATTTCTTAAAAGACTGAGAGGTTTTGAATCGAAATTGGAAAACAATTGTATACGTTAACAAGCGTTAAGTAAATTTTTTTTAATGGCTCTATTGTTATAAATAATTGAGTGATTTGTTCAAACACAATTTTTTTCTTTATTTAGGCATACTATTTGT